AAAAAAAAAAAAAAAAAAAAGTGTATTCATTTATCTAATATTTTGTATATTAATAGATATATATATATTTTTTTTTTGTCTTACTGCAAAATCTATTATTTGTTCTATATGATAGGGTGAATTATTTTGAAAAGATGTAGTTCCTAAAAGTAAAATATCTATATAAAAAAAAATATTAAAAAAAAAGGAAAATTAATTAAAATTTAAATAGAAAGGTATATTTATTTGTTTTAACCTGCACTATTATCATTGTAAGGATTTTTTTCTTCAAAAAATTCCCATTTTATAATACAATATAATTCACCTGGAATTTAATATTTCATAAAAAAAAAAAAAAAAAGTGAATAAAAACTATAGATTAAAAAAAAAAAATAAAAATTATGAAAACCTTTTAACCCAGCCAAAGAATCATATAAAGGAAACCATCCTTCTAATTTCAAATTATCATGAAAATAAAAAAAACTAAAATCTATTTGAATATAGCCACTATTTATATTTTCTACATCATCTATCTAATAAAATATATTGAATTAAATTGAAAGAATGTTAAGTTAATTTTTCTCTTAAAAATATATTTTTCTTTTTATTTCTAAATATATTTTTTAAATAAAAAATGTACTATTATTTTTAGTGGACATATTTGAAGTTCTGAATCATCTGCAATTTCTAATCGAAATGATAAATTTAAATCATTTGTATTTCTATTAATGTCTAAATAAGGAAATAAAAAAAAATAATACTTATATATTTAAATATATCTTATATTAATAATAAATTATTTATTTTTTTTTTTTTTAATTCAATATTTTATATAGAAAATAATTCACTAACTGAATTTTGTTCTTTGTTTTGTTTCTCCTAATGTGACCTAAAAATTAGTTGTAAATTTTTAAAAAAAAAATTACTATTTTATTAAATTTTATCAATATATCTTTTTATCATTTAATAACTTCAATATATTTAAAAGAATCAATTTCAGATTTTTCAAAGGCATTAAAATCTCTTATACCAGATATTCTCACTTTAACGATACAAGGCATTTTATGTTAAAACATAGTTCAAAAAAAAAAAAAAAAAAAAAAAAAAAAATAAAAAAAAAAAAAAAAAAAAAAAAAAAAAATAGATAAAATAAAAAAAAAAAAATAAATAAATATATGGTATGCCAATGATTTATGAAGTTATTTATATTAAAAAAAATTTTTTTAAACAAGTTTTTGTGAACAATTTTCATAACAAATTTCATTTGTAATATTTGTTAAAATTTTTTTTAGTATTTTATATATAAATGAGAAAAAAGAATGGAAAATGAGGAAATACAAAAATTAATAAATTTTTTTAAAAATGATATAAAAGTATTTTTATTTCCTATTTAAGATTTTTAATTTTTTTTAGAAAAAACAATTTGTATACTTAAGCATAGTTTTTAATTAAAATTAAAATAAGAAAAATATAATTAAAAATGATAAAAGAGTAAAATTCTTAGCTCATTAACTTTCATTTAGTTATTATCTTTATGTTTCGTAATTTAGAACTTTTGGTAGATTAAAACTGATTTTTTATTTTATAATTTAAATAATTTTTTTTTTTTTCTTAAAAGGGAAATTAAAAAATTTGTATTTTATTTTAAAGAAAGAATAAATAATTTCATGAGAATATTAATTAATAGAATAATCCTTTATTATTTTCTTTTATTTTTGTATATTAAATTTTAAACATAATGATATATTAACTTAAAAATAATTAACATATAATTATAGTAAACCTAAATTGATACAATGTATATAATAATTAAATTTATGTATATATAATAACAAGATATTAATCTTTAAGCATGAATAATAAATATTTATAAAAAATGTTTAAGAAAAATAAATTTACATTCAAAGGGAAACCGAATAAAATTAATAAAAAAAAAATATAACAATTAAAATGATAATAAATGTGCAATCATTTTAAGAGGCCTTAGTTGCAACAAAATATGAAAGAATATCCAAAATTAAATTATTTAAAAAAAAAAATAAACAAAAGTACACATATATGTTTTTTAATTTTAAATGTTAAAAAAAAAACAAATGAAATAATTAATTAAATTAGACAAACAAGAGAGTTGATATACGTAGGTGCACTTGTAATTGCACTAAATAATTTTTTTTTTTTTTTAAATGAATTTTCTTAAAAAGCAAAAATAAAAAAAAAAAAAAAAAAGAAATATATAAAGAAAAAAAAGAAAAGAAGATATAAATAAAGAAAAAAAAAGAAAAAAAGAAATTAATAATAATTATAAAAAAAAGGTCTAAAAATATTTTATTTTTAATCAGTGTAACAAAATGATGTCTCCTTTTTTTTTCTTCTTGATAATATGTAAGAAAATAAAAAAAAAAAAATAGTTAAAATATTTAATAAAATAATACATATAGTTATTAAAAATTATAATGGAATATTGAAATATAAGAAAATAAAATAAGGATAATAAAAATTTTATTTATACTGAAAGGAAATATTTTCAATTAAAAAGAAAATAACATTTAGTTAAAAATATAATTTTGTTATATTTTATTTTATTTTAATATATTTTCTGCAGATGTTATATTTAGTAAAAATATAATAGAATGTACAAATGATGAAGTACCTCAAACAAATGATTTAGGTGAGAAAGAAGCTGCTAAAGCTGAGTTACAAAATGAACCAACACCTGCAAATGGACAAACTTTAGAACAAGAAGTTCAATCTGCAACTCAACGTGAAGTTACAGCTGAACCTGAAGGTAAAAGTGAGAATGGGGTAACTACATCAGCGGTTGCATCTCCAGCTGCACCTCAAGATGCACCATTAGATTCTAGAGAAGCAAATCCTAATCAAGCAGATCATCAAAATGGGGGTGCGGATTTACCTGAAGAAGCACTCAATGTTACAGTAAGAGGTGCAAATGGGGATGCAGGAACAAGTGGTGATAGTGCAGCTGCTTTAAAAAATGCAACTTCTGTAAATATGCCAATTAAATCTGCTTTATTGAAAAAGAATACAGGAGTAAAAGTAACTGGTAAATGTGGTAATTATTTTCAGTTGAGTTTTGTTCCACATATGACACTTAATTTTGAAACAGATGATGGAAAGATAGAATTAGAACAAAAATTTGCAGCATCTGAAATAATAAATATAAATTTTACAAAGAAATGTCAAAATGAACAAACTTTTAAATTTATTGCAGTTATCAAAGACGATATATTAACTCTTAAATGGGAAGTAACTGATTCTACAGGTTAAAAACAAAAAAATAAAAACGAATAAATTAATTATGATAATAATTTTGATTTTTTGCAATTTATAAATAACAATACTTTAAATGAGATATTGAATATATACTTATTTGGAATATTTAAATATAAATATATCTAATATTTATATCTTATATATTTTTTCTTTATATATATTTTATATTATTTTGTTTAATATTTTATATTAGAACCAAAAAAAGAAATGAAAAAATATAGGATACCAAAATTTGAGAAGCCAATCACTTCAATACAAGTACACACAGGAAATTCAACTGCAAACATAATTGAAAGTAAAAATTATGCTATAAAGAATGCTATTCCTGGTTAGTTTTGTGAAAAAAAAATCTAGAAAACTTATGTTTACTTTTTATTTAAGAACTTTTAAAATTTACTTATGATTGCTATATATTGAACTCATTTACACTATATATTTTTATTATGTCCATTTCATCCTTTTTTTTTAATTTTATTATTTTTTTTTTTTAACAGAAAAATGTGATGCAATAACAACTGAATGTTTTTTAAGTGGTAATTTAGATATTGCAAAATGTTTTCACTGTACTTTGTTAGCGAGAAATACTGATACTTCTAATGAGTGTTTTAATTATGTTTCTCCTGATAATAAAGCAAAATTTGAACAATCTATCATAACTGAGTCAAGTGATGAAGACTCTAATGAATTTAAACTTGAAGAAACTATAGATAATATAATGAAAAAAATTTATAAGACAGATCCAATAAGTAAGAAAAAAGAATTAATAACATTGGAAGATTTTAACGATGAATTAAGAGAGGAAATAAGGAATTATTGTGATTTGTTAAAAGAAGTAGATGTTAGTGGAACATTAGAAAATCATGAATTAGGTAATGAAACAGAAGTATTTAATAATTTAACCAGATTGTTAAGGGCTCATGATGAACAAAGAGATACTACATTACCAAATAAGTTAAAAAATGCAGCAATTTGTATTAAAAATGTAGATGAATGGATTATAAATAAAAGAGGTTTAGTATTACCAGAAGTAACAAATGAATATTTTAATAATGTTAAAGATATGCCTGAAGTTGAAAATGAGGAAGAATATGAAAAAATTATAAATGTAACTGAAGATATGTATGAAAAAGATGAGAATGATATTATTGATTTAACAAAAAAAGACAAAGAAGTAAAATTGTTATCTCCATATTTTATACCTAATAAATATTGTAATGATGAATATTGTGATAGATGGAAAGATAACACAAGCTGTATATCAAAAATTGAAGTAGAAGAACAAGGTCATTGTGGAGTTTGCTGGGTTTTCGCATCTAAATTACACTTGGAAACAATAAGATGTATGAGGGGATATGGTCATTTTAGAAGTTCTGCATTATATGTAGCTAATTGTTCTAAAAGAAAAGCTAAATATAGATGTATTGTAGGTTCAAGTCCAATAGAATTTCTCCAAATTATTGATGAAACAAAATTTTTACCTCTTGAATCTGATCATCCATATTCATATACAGATGTAGGTAAAGATTGTCCTCAACCAAAAAAAAAATGGGTCAATTTATGGGGTAGTACGAAATTGTTAGAATACGTTAACTATTCACAATTTACATATTCTAAAGGATATATTGCCTATGAAAGTGCAAAATATACTAATATAGATACATTTATAGGAATAGTAAAACGTGAAATTCAAAATAAAGGTTCTGTTATTGCATATATAAAAGCAGAAAATGTTTTCGGTTATGATCTGAATGGAAAAGGAGTCCATAGTTTATGTGGTTATAAACACCCTGATCATGCTGCTACTATTATAGGATATGGTAAATATATAAATATTAAAGGAGAGAAAAGATCTTATTGGTTAGTTAGAAATAGTTGGGGTTATTATTGGGGAGATGAAGGAAACTTTAAAATTGACATGCATGGACCAAGTACTTGTAAATATAATTTCATCCATACAGCTCTTGTTTTCAAAGTTAATTTAGGTATGGTTGAATTACCTGATGAAAAGTCAGCTCCTAATCCTTTTAATTACTTCCTTAAAAACGGTCCTGAATTTTATCATAGGCTTTATTATAAAAATTTTAGTCCTTTGAAATCTAAGAATCTTTCTAAAAAAAATGAGAATAATGAAGAAGATCAAACCAACTTCACAAATAATGAGGATAATGGTAATGATAAGACAGATTTAGGTGAAAATCCTCAAATATATGGTACAGATAATGATGTGTTAACTGCTGAAGCTGCTGCAGTAGCTGCAGTTAGTCAGAAGGAAACTATAAGACATATTTTAAAAGATATTAAAAATAAGAGAATAAAATCAAGTCTAATTTCCTATGCTGATGAAGACGATATAGGAAAAGAGCATTCATGTTCTAGAACATACTCAAGTGATCCAGCTAAGGATGCCGAATGTAAACAATTCTGTGTTCAAAATTTCGATAAATGTAAATCTCAGTATTCACCTGGTTATTGTTTAACTAAGTTGAAAAAAACCGATGAGTGTTTTTTCTGCGCTGTATAAAATTCCATATAAAAAAATAAACTTAGTCAATTATAACGGTTTTTTAAGAAGTTACAAAAAAAAAATGTATTTTTTTAATAAAATAAAAAAGTAATTTTTTTTAGTATTAGTAATAAAAAAAAATCCTCATTTATATATATAATTTTTTTATATATATAATTTTTATTCATGTACATTTAATTTTTTTTTGAACTTACAGAAGTTCAAGATTAAATTTATATCTGAATATTATTTTTTAAAAACGCTCAAACTCGTGTTCTTTTTTTCTTTTTTTTCTTTTTTTTTTAAATAGAAAAAACAAAATAACATTTGAAAAAAAACAAGGGGATAAAGATGTAAAAATATCTGCTATTTCATTTTTTCTTTTATTTATATTGTCTATTCTTTTAAGAATAGTTATATTTTAAAAGAATTATTTTAAAAAAAAAAATAAAATAAAATTATGAATATTTAAAAAAGATTTTTTTTTTCTTTATAATTAAGTTATTTAACTGCTTCACTAATATATATATATATAAATTCTTCTTGAAATATCAATTCAACTGATAAATATGTCTTAACATATTTACCAAAAAAAAAAAAAAAAAAAAAGCTTTAAAGTATAGTAATTACATTTGTTAATATTTTTTTTTACACAAAGTAAACACAATACATGCAAATTAATATATTTTATCATTAATAATAAATTTTTTTAATAAATTTTCTTTTACTCAATAGAATTAATCTTGTAAATTTACAACTACTAAGTAGCTTTTAAGTACTTGTTCTGTTCAAATTTATAAAATTGTAAGTTTATTATTTTAAAATTATAATGTAAATTTTTAATAAAAATATTTTTTAAAAAAATAGAGTATCTACTTATTTTATTTAGAATTCTAAGGTAGCTATAAGTACATGCATTAATAAAAAGAAAAAAAAAAAAAAAAAGCTAAAAAAAAAATGAACATTTTTTATTAGCCTTAAAAATATAATATCATATATATACTTTTATTTATATAGAATATAAAAAAAATAATTTAAGTTAGACTTAAATATTATATATATATATACTTTTATAATTTTATTAAGTGATCTATTTGATATTGTGATGTTGTGTAAATAAATTAGTACATATATAAATCACAAAATTGTTTTCCTTTTTTATTTTTTTTTTACAATGCATGTATTAAATTGTAAAAATTCAAAAATTAAAAGCCAAGTTTGAAAATAAATACTTTACACATTTCTTTTATTTTTAACAGATTTTCTTAAAATAGAAAAAGTTATTTTTTGTAGCAATACTATAAAATAAGTTCTTTTATTAATAATTTTATTTTATTTTATTTTATTTTATTTTTTTTTTTTTTTTTAAGTCCTACGTATTTTATATTCAATATTATAATCATTATTTTTAATATTTAGTAATGAGATAAAAAAAATATTACTAAAAACAAAAAACAGTAAAATAAAAATAAAGGAAATATATATTAGTTCTACACATTTATCTAAAAATGAAAAACTCTAAAATGATATATTACGCATTTTTTATTTTTCTTATTCTTTTGGAAAAAGGAGGTAACAAATTTCTTCAATCAAGCACCTTTTTTTGTTCTTTTTTTTCTTTGAAAAAAAAAAAGATTGTATTTTTATTTATATGAAAAAAAAAAAAAAAAAAAAACCCTATTAAACACAAATAATTATATATTAATAATCTTTTTTTTTTTTTTTTTTTTTATATAGTAAAATCCAACTTAACAATTAGTTGTCATGGAAAATATCATTGCAAGATATGTCATACAATAATGAGAAATTGTTTTTTGGCTGGTAGTCTTGATTTTTCAAAGTGTATTTTATGTGAAGAAAAATTTTATAATATACAACCTTGTATTCAACACCCACGTATGATAAAAAAAAAAAAAAAAAATTTATAATTTTAATTTTATTAATTGTCATATAAGTATTTATTTTTAAAATATTAATATAGATAATTTATTTAATCTTGTTGTATATATTTTTTTTTTATTTTTTAGAAAATTTTTTATTGTCTAAGGGGGAGATTAAAGCATTTATTGAATTACAAGAAGAAGTAAAAAAAATTATACAACAAAATAAAAAAAATTTATACATATATACAAACATATATATATATATATTTTTCAAAATAAAATATGTTTTGATATATTAAACTTAATTATATTTATATGTTCATATTATTCTAATTTATTTAATAATTTTTTATTTTTTATTTTTATTTTTCTATTTTTTGAAGGATTATTTAACTAGAGAACAAATGAGAGCATTAATAGAAGAAATAATTAAAATATCTCTTTATAGAATAAAAAAAAGATTAAATGATGAACATTCAATGAGTGATGATTTAAAAAAAAAAATAAAGAAATTGTGTTTATATTCTAATTTTTATGATAATTATGAAAATGCAAGAAATCATATGCAAGCAAGTGTCGTTGAAGTAGAACAACATATTCGAAAAATTGTTAAAAAATTTATGAATGAAAAAGATAATATAGAACATATGTATGATTCATTAAGTAATCCTGCTTTATGTTTAAAAGATCCAGGACAGTGGATAAGAGATAGAGCAGGATATAAAGATATTGATATACCTTCTGCTGGTATTATACCTGAAAAGAAACTTTTCAAATCTTATATGCTTAATTCTCTAAATAATTCTTTATATAGTTCAAAATATAATTGCAATAGACAATTTTGTAATAGATTTGCTGATACAAATGAATGTGAACATAATATCAGAGTTCTTAATCAAGGAAAATGGTAAAAATAAAAGAAAAAATTATTTATATAAATTTAGTTATATATATATATAAATTAGTATATAAATTAGTATATAAATTTATACATAAATTTTTTTCTTTTTTTCAGTGGGAATTGTTGGGCTTTTGCTTCTTCAACTGTTATATCTGCTTATAGATGCAGAAAGGATTTAGGATTTGCTGAACCTTCAGTTAAATATGTAACTTTATGTAAGAATAAATATAACAATAATGGAATAGATCTATTTGGTCATTATAATGATAATATATGTAAAGAAGGTGGACATATAGTCTTTTTTTTAAATACGGTGGAAAAAACAGGTATGCTACCAACTTCTCATGATGTTCCTTATTATGCACCTTTAAAAAGTTCTGAATGTCCTAAATCTAAATCATCATGGAGTAATATATGGGATCAAGTAAATTTATTTGACAAAATATACAATGGATATATGTATCATGGTTTTTTGAAAATTTCCTTTGGTGATTATGTAGAACAAGGAAAAACAACTGAATTAATAAATATAATAAAAGATTATATAATAGATCAAGGTGCTTTATTTGTATCTATGACAATAACTGAAAAATTAAGTTTCGATCACGATGGAGAAAAAGTAATGATTAGTTGTCAACATAATGAAACTCCTGATCATGCTTTGGCTCTCATAGGATTTGGTGATTATATAATGCCATCAGGGAAGAAAAGTTCATATTGGCTAATAAGAAATAGCTGGGGAGCACATTGGGGAGATAAAGGAAATTTTAAGTTAGATGTATATGGATCACCAAATTGTAATGGGCATGTTTTATATAATGCTTTTCCTTTACTTTTAGAAATGAATGGAAAAAAAATAAATGCTCCATTACCTAATGATACAGCTTCAACGGATGTTAAAACAAGGTATGATTTCCATGGATTTGGTTCACATAAAGAAAATAATTTCTCACCACATAATATGAATATCGATAGAAATAGATTATACCCAAACCCATTTGGTGATTCTTATCCTTTTAGGAAACCCAATCATAATACTTATTATGATCCTATAAATCCTTATGCAATTCCGAGAGATCAAAATTATAATCCCAATAAAGATTCTTCTTATGGAAATAATGATTATGCTTATCCTCGAGATAACAGTAGAGATAGATCAGGAATTATATATAATCGTGATATAAGAAATCTTAGAAGAGTTTTTAAATCACAAATAATTGCTCAAATTGGAGATTTTATATATAAAAGATCTATTTATTCAAAAAGTAAATACATAAAACATGATGATAATAATAATATGAAAAAAAAAAAAAAAAAAAAAAATTAAAGAAAGAGCATAATTGATATTCACTTTTATCTATTTATTTATTTATTTATATTTTTATATATACTTTCGTATGCTTTATACATATATATATATATATATATATATATACTTTTATATATAGTTATTTAAATATATTTTTATTTAAATTCATTTTCATATTAGGAAAAGATGAGATTAAAGAACCATATTCGTGTTTAAGAACATTTTCAATGGATTCATTATCAGATTCTACATGCCGTAATAATTGTCATCAATTCATAAGTGAATGCAAATATAGTTCATCAATTGGAGAATGTTTAATGAAACGTTCACCAAATTATAAATGTATTTATTGTGGAATGTAATAGAATTTTTTATTATTTTATTTTATTTTAATTTTTTTTTTTTTTACTTTAAAAAAAAAAAAATAAAAAAATAAGTAAATAATATAATGATGTATCATTTCTGATGAGATGATAATATATGTTTAAAGTATATCATTGTTAATATGAAATAGTAGGCATATTTAATTTTAAGATTAAAAATAAAACAGTGGAAAATAATATTTTTGCAAATTACATTAATATTATTTCAATTTTTTTATTTTCTTTGTTATATTTACAATTTTACTATTTTTTTTTTCTTTGTTATGTTTATAACTTTATTTTTTTTGTTAGATTATTCAATTCAAATTTGTGCATATAAATACACATTTTATTTTATTTTTTTATATGCTTCTTATATCTTTATTTTTTCATATAATTGAATCATATCTATAAATACTTAATTTATTACACTATTTATATTCCTTTCTTATTTTCATTGCTTCATATGTTAATGTAGCTTTAGAATGTTGTCAGTAAAATTTTTCAGTAGAATTATTTTATTTAGATATATATTTTTTTTTTTTTTTTTATTATCAATGAAGATAATTACATTTCTTACATTTGTATTAATCATTTTAAAATATTTTTTAATAATTTTTTTTTTTTTAATTTTATAATATTATTATATACCATATATATATATATATATATATATTTATTCAAATTTTTTTTTTTTCGTATTAAAATTTTATTATTATGTGTAAATAATTTTTCATTTGTTTTATTCATTTTTTTATGAATTTTTTTTAATATATATATAAAAAAAAATGTATTATATAAATAAATGTCTATTTCTTTTCATATTTTTAAAAAGTATGAATTTTGTTAAAATTTTTATTAACAAAATATATGACAAAACATTTTACTATGTTAAAACTGATTTAATAATTTATAAAAAATTTTTACAAAAAAATAAAAAATATAATATAAATATATCAAATAATATATTGTATATATTTATTTCCTATTGTGAAAGGTTTAATTTAATATGTTGGAATAAAAAAATTTTGTATCTTCTTTAATTCATTTATAAAATTTAAAACTATCTTTATAAAAAAGTGAAAGAAAAAAAAATTTTTTACTTGAAAGCTATAATAACAAATTAAAAAAATTAATTTTTCAATTTTTTATTCATATGTTTATTAAAAAATAAACAAAAGAATAAATTTTTAATGTTCTTTTTTTATTTTTATTTTATTTTATTTTTTTTTTTTTTGTTTAAAAAAAAAAATTTGTAATTTTTATATTAAGAAATTAAAATATATAAACATGTAAATTTAAATTTTGCTTGTAAAATTTTTATGATTTTTCTCCATTTTGATAATTTTTTATAAAATATTTGTATTATATTTGTTATAATTTTTATATTATAAAAATTGTATATAAGTATTTAATACTTTATACAAAAAATTAAATAATATTAATATTAATTTTTTTTTTTTAAACATTTGAATTATTGTTTTATTTTTTTTTTTTTTTTTTTTTGTTATGCAAATTAAAATTTTAAATATTTTTTTAAAAATTTTAATTTTCTTTTATTAGTTAAAATATATAATTTTCATTTTTTTTTTTTTGCATTAAATAAAATAATTATGTATAAAAAGAAAAATCTACAATTTTATGATAAGATACAAGTTTTTTTTTTTTTTTTTTCTGTTTACCTTTTGTATGAATAATTTTAAAAAAAATTATAATTGTTCTCATTTAATTATGACTTAATTTTTTGTAAATGAATTTATATATATATATATATTTATATATATATATATATGTATGTATGAAAAAATATTTTCAAAATGTTTAGGTATTTAAATAAAAAATGTAAGATATATAATTCATTGAACTTTTTGAAAGATTATAAGTTATACTTTTCTTCTACTGAATCAGAAAATAAAAAAAGTAATTATAAAGAAATAATAATAGAATCTGAAAAAAATAAAAATGTAAAAGACAAAATTTTACATTTAAGTAATGATGCTATAAATAAAATGAAAGAGATAAATTTAAAATATAAAAATTCTAAGGCATTAAAAATTTGTGTGGAAGCTGGTGGATGTTCTGGTTTTAAATATTCTTTTTCATTAATTGATAAAAATCAAATAAAAGAAAAAGATGTAATTGTATATGATAAGGAATGTGTTATAACAATTGATAAGGAAGCTGTTGAAATTTTAAGAAATAGTAAAATACATTACACTAGCAACCTTATTTCAAAAAAATTTACTATTGAAAACATACAAAATGTTTCATCAAAATGTTCCTGTGGTAATTCATTTGATATTAATTTATGATAGATATAAATAGATATATTTAAATAATTATAAAATTAAATTATAATAAATTTAAAGTGAATAAATATAGTAAAATATATGAAGAAATGAGAAATAAAAGGGAATATTATATCTCTAGTTGATTTATATAGTAATAAAAGTTTCAGTTTATAATATTTTTATTTCGTTTATTTTTTTTTTTAATATATATAAAATTTTTAATAATAGTGATTCTAATTCCTATGAGAAAAAATAATAAATAAAAAAGTAAAAAATATTTTGAATATTTTTGAAGTTATTGAAATACATATACTACATTTTTTTTAATTTTTTTATTAAAAATGTATAAAGTTTATAAAAGATTGTAATACACATTCATTTAATTTTTTTTTTTTTGAACAATTATTTTAAAATGTTCATAATTTCATTATATTATTAAATATATATTTATATAATCATAATAATTAAATTTCTTTTAAAAATTTTTATATTACTTCTTTTTTTTTACTGAATTTTTTAATTAAAGGAATATTGTACAATATTATTAATTTGATATGTTCATTTTTTTAAATATAAGATTTTCATTTTTTGTAAAATTTATAATATTATAAAATAAAAAATTATTTTAATTAAATAAGCATTTATTTTCATATTAACACACACACACAAAAAAAAAAAAAAAAAAAAAAAAAAAATAATACATATAAAAAATATTTAATGATATTTTAACAACAATTTAATATACTTTTAAAATTATTTTTTTTTATGTAAGAATTATTTATTATTGTGTTATGTAATTATATTTATAAATTGTTTTTTAAAGCTCAATTAAAAATATATATTTAAAATAATATACTTCATTTAAAAGTTTTGCAATTAATATTTTTTATAATATTAATTAAAAAAATACAAAGAATATTATTAATCAATTTGTAAAAAGAAAATAATAATATAGAGTGGATATAAAGTTATATATAAAAAACTAAATAATAAAATATATATTAAAATTATATAATTGTCTTATTCTAAATAATTATAATAAATGACTAAAAAAAGATATAAAAAAATAATTAAAAATAATTGAAATTATAAAATTGTATTTTGTTATTGTTTTTATTTTTATTGTCTTATAATTTTTACAAATTTTTTACAATAAAATCTTCTATAATTTTATATGCTACTTACAATTATATATATATATAATTGTATTTCAGACATATATAAATGAAAATGAAAATTTTTAATATAGAAATTAAATATTTACTTAGTTTTTTTTTTTAAAAAAGAGTGTTTTATTTTTCTTGTTTGTATCATTTAAGTTTATCTCAGTTCGACTACGAATCTTTTCCTTTAAATTTTTAAAAAAATCATAAACATTTAACTTATAACTTCTTTTTTTAGAATTCATATGATTTACAAAAGTTGTATTTTTATCTTTAGATCTTTTAAATAAATTAAATTTTCTAATAAACTTAAATTTATTCGTTTTTTCATTTTCAATTGATTCATGTTTATCTTCTTTTGCATCATCATAATTTTTATTGTGTTCTAATTTATTATAGTTGTTTTCTTCTAATTTATCACTCTTATTTTTCATTATATTATTTTGAATCTCACATTTATGATTTAATTCATATTCTTTATCTTTTATTTTATACTGGTTATAAGAAAATATATTCTTATTTTTCACATTATTACTAATAGTTATGTATTTTTTAAAATCATATTTTTCTATATTAAATATTTTATTTTCTATTCCTAAATATTCATGTTCATATTTTTTATTATAGCATCTTTTTACGTTAGTAAAAAAATATTCATTTTTACTTTTTAATATATTGTTAAAACTTATGTTAACTTGTTTCAGTAAAGAAATATTATCCTTAATAACCCTTTCATAATACTTATCATCAATATTTTTTATTCTAGAAAAATTACTACTTGTTATATTATTTTTAACATTACTTAATAAAGTAATATTGGAATCAATATTAGTAATAGATAAAATATTATCATTTTTATAATTCGGTTGTGATAATGAAAAACTATTGTATCTATTACTATAATTAGATTTATTTACACAATTATTATAAATTTTATTAATATATACAGTATTAATATTATTGTTATAATTCATATATTTATCATTATTGTAATTATAAACAATAATATCATTATAATTTATTTTATTTTTGTTATAGTGATCATAAATTTCATTGTATACATTGAAATATATATTACTAACTGAAACTTTTTCAAATTTTATAATACTCTTGTTATACTCATTATTTAAATTTTTTTTATCTCCTTTAATCGTTAAATTGTGACGATTTACATTGTATATCTCGTTATTGCAGTTATCATCATTAATGTTATTACTTTTATTAGCATTATATATATTTATATTATCATAGTTTTCTTGATTATGACTAATAGGGTTAACATGATCATTAGAACTTTCACATATGCTGTTATTAACAGATTTTTCAATATGATTTTTATTTTCATTCGTATCTTCTTCTTTACTAGTATTAACAGTATTACAATTTATTGAGTTACTATTTAAATTATCATAGTTCTTTTCAAAATCTTCTAATTCATATTTTATTTCTCTCCTACATATAGGACAAAGAAAACTCTTATCATATTCAAATAGTAAATATAAACATGAAATATGAAAAGAATGACCACAGGTAAGTTTTTTATAATTAATGTGATAATTATAATCTCTACAAATGATACAAATGATATTGTTTAATTTTAGATATTTCTTATCTTCATTTTTAAAATAATTATTAAATAGTTTTTCATTAATGAAACAATTTTTAGTAGATTTGTAATTATTTTTTAAGCAAATTAAGCAATTCTTTAACTTCAAAAGGAGAAAGAAATCAATAAAATTTAAAAATGAGCCATAAAAAAACCACATATAAATATATTCAAACATTTGAATTAAATTACAAATAATATTATTTAAACTTAATAAAAAATAAAAATATGTTGGCTTTTCGTAAAATATTTTTGAATTAAAATAATGATATGATGAAATTATAATTAAAAATAGGCAATTTATACAAATAATTATTGGTTCAAATAATATTATTACTTTGATTGAGCTTTTTAAATTGTAGAACAAATTATAAATTATTTTTAAATTAATTACACACTCAATTAAAGTAAAAAAAACATACGACAACAACTTTATTCTTTGTTTCCTTTCCATTCTAAAATTATTAAAAAGATAAATCCTTTCCTTAATAATTTTTATTCTAATTGATTCATATATCAACGGAGTAAATATACATATCCAACAAATTACTTCATTAATATTTAACGAAGTGATTAAAAATATCAAAATTAATAAATTCATCTGTATAATTAATGAAAATAAAAAAAAAAAAAAAAGAATAAAAATAAAATATATCATTGTTAATTATTTATTTTCTTATTTTTTTTTTTATTTCTAATTTTTTATATTTTAAGCTATTAGAAAAAAAAAAAATATTATATCAAACCAACTGATGGATTAACTCTTCTCTTGCTTTCTGACGTTCTATAGCTAGAATATTTCCTGTATATATTAAAAAAAAAATATTGTATAAAATAACTAAAATCAAAATTTTCAAACAAATAAAAAATAAATTTAAAAAAAAAAAAAAAAAAAAAAAAAAGAGCCAAAAAAAAATTATAATAATTAAAATATTAACCTAAAAAAATGTAATTAAAAAACTTATTAATGAGTCTTATAATATAAAACTCTAAGTTCCATATTAATAAAATGTTCCTATAAATGCATATAAAAAAAGGTAAATAAATAAATGTTTTTTTTCTATATAAAATAAATGTAAAGAATTGTAAAAAATTCTTTTATCAATTTGTTAGAAAAAAAAGATACATATATATATATATAGATATATATATGAATATGTATATTTTATTACCATTTTTTTTGAATGTAATGAGAAAAGGATTTAAAATTTAAAAAAGACACATAAAAAGATATAAATGTAAGAAGAGTATATACAAAAAAATGAAAATAATTCATTTTATATAATACATATCTATATATATATATATACAAGTCTTCTTTTTGTTTTAACTTTCTCAAATGTTAAAAAATACAAATATTAAATTAAAACAATATTAAAATTAATTGTAATTCTGTTTTTTTTTTTTTTTTTTTTTTTTTTTTTTAAAAAAA